GTGCAGCTAGACTTACTTCTGGAGTGATTTTCGAATCTTTCTGAGGATATACTGTTGGCGATGTTTCACACCAGCCATGTGAGTCCTGTAAGCGTCTGCACTCCCAAGATCCCTTTTGCAAACTTTGCAGTGATAAGCTCCATGCCTCGTGAGGCTGAAAAAGTCATCTTCACCTTCCGATTCGTCACTTGGATCGTCAACTAAGAGTTGAAGTGCTGCGGCATCTCCGCCTCCAAATATAACACGGTCATGAAGTTGCTGGCACATGTTTAGATGATAAGTAAGTGTGTTGAGAAGTTTGGAGAATGACATACCCAGTGTATCGTACGACAGGCGAAATTCTTGATAAATTGCCCTCAACTCGTCCACAAACATGTTTTCCTTACGCTTTCCATCTTCCAGAAACTTGACAAACGTCTGGGCTATGATTTTCTCTTGGTGAACAGTCCTCCGGCCGAATTTCATTCGCCTAAAATGGGAGCGGCAATACTGTACATCAATACTCTGATGTCAGTAACAAAATTGAAATACAGAGAACTTCTCCTTAACATATAGCATAAATTTTACTCCATTTCCGTTGACGTCAAAGTATTAAATTACACTCCTTAAATTTATATGGAGGGGCATTAAGGACAAAATGCAATTAGATCATGACCATATCCTATTGGATCGCATTTACATTTCATTAGATCGCATCGGGTCGCGGGTCGTACATGCATTCAGTTGGATCGTGCCTGATATTATTTATTCTTGCTTTATTCCATTAGTTCATTCCTTTATGGCATTCGATCGTACATAAAGCTATTGGATCGTGACTTTACATTTACCCGTACCACCAAGGAACACCATTCCATTGGATCGCAACGTATCGTTCGGGCGTAATCTCCATTTCGTCAGCGGTTAACCGAGTAAATCAAATTCCTGTGGTGACACATTGCCCACAATTACATGACGTACAGTTCGAAGTTAGGCTGCACTTGCTGTGTATTCGAACTCGGTCGTTATGTAACAGTTTATGTCGGCGGTACATAGACATACTGATAACCACGTTTTTGACGATTTTCCGAAGATACTCCTAAAATTGTTCGAAGGTCATATGAACGTTACTGGACATTTTCCGAAAATTTCCAAACATTACCGAAGATTTCGTAAGATAACCGACAGTTGCCGAAGACTTTCGAGGGAGATCCGAATATGTTTTGATCATACACCAACAAATATAATTACAGTTTAAGGGTCAAAACTGATATCATATCAGATATCATATTTTCACTAGTGAGGATATGAAAAATACGCCATCCATGTCCCGGATGTGGTTTCGTAGGAATTTTACGAGTGGTGTATTTTCCAGTAAAACACTTGACTGTGTCTTGAAAATAAAATAGCGAAGTATGAAAAACGTTTGTTAATTGACAGAGTTGGATGTGCAGTTCCATCGAATTCTTCAGTCTAGCATAATTTTTAAATTCAGCTTCAAACTCTGACTAATAATTTTTCTCAGACAAAGCCGGCCAGCCAGCTGAAGTAAGAACTGCTGCTTCACCCATGCTCCATTTCTCACATCACTGCTTCGGAGCGAACATAGCCAGTGAGCAGCAAGATTAATCAGGAATTAAAAAGAATATATAGAAGGCGGTACGAATTCTCGAATTCATCACTTTTTACCAGAACGCATTGCATTTAACCAGACTGCCACTTTTTACCAGAGTGCATTGCGCCACGAATAACACGAGGATGTCACTGTCGAGCCGTCGTCCTTTTCCGCATGGATCCCGGTGAAAAAGTTTGCTCTGATTTGCCTGTAAAACGATGTGAAGGAGATCGTGCTTGACTTTCATCACCCTTGCTCTTGTTTTTAATGTAGTACGTGAAACTTTGTAAATCTGGACAATTAATTGCGACATCTTAATTTTAAACTTAGTATGTCATTTCTTAGCAGTCTTGCCTCCTTGGTCGAAATTTTAAATGAAGGGAAATAAAATATTGTCGTTACTAAAGCTTGGAGAATAGTTAAAACAAACGAAAACCGTAGAACTCGCTAATTTCATATCTGCTGCGATCTATATTCCTTCTCGATCATCCAAACATGAATTTAAGCTAAAGCTTTTCACACATCACGATGGACGCGTCATCGACACAGCCTTCTGTCAACATTCTAGAGACATTCAATGCGTACCAGTACAGAATCTATAAGTTAGATTTCTGCTCCTATAATTTCCACATCTTTTGATTTTCGCGATCTGGTTAAGGGGAGGTTGATGTGTATCATTTTACGCAGTTCAAACATAATTCAGATCACTATGTGCTTTTTTGTCTCAATCCCTTGTTATACCTCGCAATCGATGTGTCATCATGCATGAAGTTGATGCATACATTTACAAGGTTAGATTTTAAGGTACATCACGATTTGACACTACTTTAAGAAATAAAGGTTAACGAAAGTCTTGGAATGTGCAGACAGATGAATTACTGTGTAAAATGTCACTATCAACAGAATGTGCCGCAGCATTACTATCTTTTAGATACCCTAGTGTTAAAAGAGAACAAGAGAATTGCTTTTGAGTTTCTGACGGAGTTATAATTTTATCGAATGAACATCACTTCACTGATAGAATTCGAAGGTCTCTCCTTTTTTTAGGGCCATCTTTTATTACTTGGCTCTCTTTTTTTGGGTCCATCTTAACCTTATTACTTAGTAATAGCTGTGTAACAATCATACCAAAAAATATTAAAGAACTTTGCTATTAAACTACGATTATCATTATCATTAAAATAATTATCATCTGCAAAAATATTTGAAGCTTTCATTTTTTTAAAAAATCCGAACATAATAATAAAAAAAATAAGCCCACCTCTTCCCTTCATTACCCCAAACATCCTCTTTGTCAATTGCTTCCCCAAATCTTCTTAACATCTCAGGTCGAATGTCTTGGACTGGTGAATTTAATGAATATGCACCAGTGTCTTGTACAGGCATATTTTCAGGTGATTTCTGACTATCAGAAGATCCTATTAAATGAGAAGATATGAATGCAATGGGTACATTGAGAGGATAGGAATATAATGGAAATTTAGTGTTGAGAAAACCTGGTGGGATGCTGGAGAGTAAGCTGTGATGGACTAATGGAGGCCGGAAGCAATACACCTTCAGGCAAAGTAATACTATTCTAGCCTACAATGTAGTTGTCTAATGCTCCAGAAATCTGAATTTAATGCAATAGGGTAAACAAACTACTAGGCTCAAGGACGGTGGCTACTTTTGTGGATTGAAGCAAAGCAGTGTGAAAAAGACAGGTTGAAGTAATGCTAGATGAGCTAGACAATACAATATACCACAATGATATAATATGGATCTAGAATTAAAACAATATGATAGTCTCAAAAGAACTTCAATCGTTACACCAACGTAAGGTTGAAGCAGCAATATGTTTAGATCAAGATGTAGTTTGATAGGATCAAAGTGGCTATGAGCCACTCAAATTCAAAAATGGATTGCCTCTAAACAGTGGGAATTTTGATATGCCGGTAAAAGTCCACTGGCATTGTTAAGAAATAGTGCAAAACTAAACGGTAAGAGTTGAGCGCACTAAGGGAGATGTGAGACCGAGGAAAGCATTCATGAAGTCATCCTTCTTCGTCCTTGTCT